TCTGTCTGTCTGTCTGTCTGTCTGTCTGTCTGTCTGTCTGTCTGTCTGTCTGTCTGTCTGTCTGTCTGTCTGTCTGTCTGTCTGTCTGTCTGTCTGTCTGTCTGTCTGTCTGTCTGTCTGTCTGTCTGTCTGTCTGTCTGTCTGTCTGTCTGTCTGTCTGTCTGTCTGTCTGTCTGTCTGTCTGTCTGTCTGTCTGTCTGTCTGTCTGTCTGTCTGTCTGTCTGTCTGTCTGTCTGTCTGTCTGTCTGTCTGTCTGTCTGTCTGTCTGTCTGTCTGTCTGTCTGTCTGTCTGTCTGTCTGTCTGTCTGTCTGTCTGTCTGTCTGTCTGTCTGTCTGTCTGTCTGTCTGTCTGTCTGTCTGTCTGTCTGTCTGTCTGTCTGTCTGTCTGTCTGTCTGTCTGTCTGTCTGTCTGTCTGTCTGTCTGTCTGTCTGTCTGTCTGTCTGTCTGTCTGTCTGTCTGTCTGTCTGTCTGTCTGTCTGTCTGTCTGTCTGTCTGTCTGTCTGTCTGTCTGTCTGTCTGTCTGTCTGTCTGTCTGTCTGTCTGTCTGTCTGTCTGTCTGTCTGTCTGTCTGTCTGTCTGTCTGTCTGTCTGTCTGTCTGTCTGTCTGTCTGTCTGTCTGTCTGTCTGTCTGTCTGTCTGTCTGTCTGTCTGTCTGTCTGTCTGTCTGTCTGTCTGTCTGTCTGTCTGTCTGTCTGTCTGTCTGTCTGTCTGTCTGTCTGTCTGTCTGTCTGTCTGTCTGTCTGTCTGTCTGTCTGTCTGTCTGTCTGTCTGTCTGTCTGTCTGTCTGTCTAGAAAAGAAAGGGAGTTGAAAAACAGACTTGCCAGGTCTCAGAGGCAAGGCAGCCACAACTCCGAACCAGTGGTTTTCTATGGAAACCAAGCCATGCTGCCCACTATATTTTTAAAAGAGGAGATGGAGGTGTGAATGCAAAACATAGTGAGTAAAGACCTTTTCGATGGACTATTAATTATCAATTAAGAGAACTGGGGGTGTGTGGGAGATTACAAAGAACAGAACAAGCTGAGAAGCAAAGTGAGGATTCGTCAGAGCAGAGAGGGACTTTTAAAAGAAAAAAATAACAAAAGACCTTAGGATAACATAATGGGAGTTTGTGATTGAAAATACCAAATTAAGAACAAGAAAATAATACGAAAAAATAAAAAAATAAAAAAAAACCACAAGAGGGATTGAATAGGACTGGCTGGAACGCAAGGCCATGTTTTGTTCTCCAAATATCCTCTAATGTGAAAATATCCAACATATCAAAAACATTTTGGCAGTTTACCCTGATTCTCTTTTATTTTATTTTCTGATTTCCGATCAGCTTTAGGATTTATTGCTCCATTCATAGCCCCTGCTATAATCAATTCATCTCTTTCTAATTCTAGTAATTTTTGTGTTAATTTTTGAAAGAAACTCTATTGGTGCATATACTGAAATTACATATATCGTTTTTCCTTGTATTGGAATTTCTACTCCTATATATCTTCCTTCCTCATCATTTAATACAGTATTTCTTTTGATAGACAGTGTTCTGGCACATAGATAGCTACCCCCCCCTTTTTTTTTTCTTTTTTTTTGAGAAGGCTGAAGTATAGCATTTCCCTATTTTCACATTCTCTAGATATTTTACACCCTGTTTTTTAATATGGGTTTCTTGTAACCACGTTATTTGGTTTCTTTCAGTTCCCAAGAAATGGAACACTTGTTTTCATTTTTTGCAGAGTTCAGTCCCTGGACATTCCAAGTCAAAATTTTATTTGCCATTTCAGTATTCTACTTTCTTTGCTTTTAAATCTCTTTTTCTCCTTCCTCTTCTTCCTTTCCTGATTCCTCTGAGTCGATCCCTTCTTCCTCTTGTTTCCTTGCCTCTAAATTTGTGAGGTCTCTTTTTTCTACTTCTGGTCTTGCTTCTTTAAACTCTCATGACTCTAGAAACTTTCCTTTTACTTTCTCCATATTTTCCCCTCCCTGCTCTTCTTCAGTTGTATTCAAACCTGTCCCAACAAAAATTCCTCTGCCTTTTGAGTGGAATTAATTCTAAACCATGTGGTGGGGGAGACAAGAAGTTAGGAATGTTTTTTCTAGATGCAGAAAAAGCATTCAATAATATTAATTGGGAATTTATGTTTGAAGTTCTAGACCCAATAAAAGGAGATAATTTTTTAAAATGGATAAAAAGCATATATAACAAGCAAAATGCAAGGAAAATGCAAGAATCATAGTAAACAGAGAGAAAACTAATCAATGTCAGATTTCTAAAGGAACACGCCAAGGATGTCTACTCTCACCCCTGTTGTTCATAACACTGGAGGTACTACTAAGGAAAATAAGAAAAGAGGAATAAATTAAAGGTTTGAAAATTGAGAAGCAGCACTTTAAAGTAAGAGTCTTTGTGGATGATATGGTAAACTTTCTGGAAAACCCATCATGCAGTATTACGAAACTTAAAGAAATAATCAGTGACTTTGGAGAACGAGCAGTTTTAATTATAAATGAAGGAAAAACTAATATACTGACAAAAAATATGACAGGAAAAGAAGAGAAAGAATTAGAAATTAAGACAGGTTATAAAGTAGTGAATAAAGTAAGATACCTGGGTATAACAATAACTAAAAAGACAAAGGATTTCTTTGAACAAAATTATGAGAAGAAAGGAAAATAAATAAATAAAAATTTAGAAAGATGGAAACACTTAAAAATCTGATTTATGGGGAGAATAGCAGTTATCAAAATGATGGTATTACCTATATTCCTATTTAGAAAGATGGAAACACTTAAAAATCTGATTTATGGGGAGAATAGCAGTTATCAAAATGATGGTATTACCTATATTCCTATTCCTATTTCAGAATATCCCTATAATAATAAATAACAAACCATTTCATTTGTGGAGAAAACAATTCTCAAATTTTATTTGGCAGGGGAGAAAACCAAGAATAAAATTGAAATATTTGCAAGATGACAAGAAAAGAGAAGGATGGGGTCTCCCAAACCTCCAATTATTTATGAGGCAGCAGCACTACAATGGTTAAGAGAGTGGATAAGACTGGAAGATGAAAAAAATATTAATACTAGAAAGCAAAGATTTAAAATATGGACTTCATGCATACTTATGGTATGGAAAAAAGAAAGCGAACAAAGCTTTTGATAATAATATAATAAGAAAAGCATCAATAAGAGGAGAAATATAAAGGGAAATTTTATCATGGGATTCCAATGTGGATGTCCCCCCATGAAGCTTTCTCAAAGGAAGCTGATATAAAGAATGATAAATGGTTAACATATAAAGATCTACTCATAGATGTAGATGATGGACAATTGATTGAAAACAAGAGAAGAAATGAATCAAGTAGGAATAACATGCCAGTGGATTTCCACATAGACAGCTATCAGAAAGAATGAAAATAGATAATAAATTAATAGGATTGGTTAAAGAACTTACAGAACTAGACAAGATAATATGGGGAAAAGAAAATCACCAAATCGCAAAGTTGTACAAACTATTATTGGAAAGAAACATGGAACAGGAAGTAATTAGATAAAATGGATGCAGGAATTAGGTAGAACAATTCAGATAGAGGATTGGTTTAGAGCATGGAATGATAAGCAAAAACTATTAATAAGCACAGATTTGAAAGAAAATTATATGAAAATATTATATAGATGGTATATGACACCAGAGGAATTGGCAAAGGTGAATTTGTAAATTTATTAGGAAATTTTGGAAAGGAATAGAAAAAATAATCAACATAGATTTAAAAATTAAAATGGAGATGAAACCTGAAACTTATTTGTTCAAAATGGTAAAGCTAAACTGGAGACAAGAGACAATAATTTGTTTATACATATTGGACGCAGCCAGAATTCAAGTGGCAAAACAATGGAAAGACGAGGAGGAACCTTAGGTGGAGGATTGTTTAATAACATTACAAGAACTAATATTAATGGAGAAACAAACAGAATCACTGAAAGGAAAGAGTAGAATGGAGCACGAATCTCAATGTGGGAAAGTAAAGAGTTATGTTAGAGAGAAATGGAAGAAAGATTCCAAACCTGTACCAAATGACTTAGGTTTAAATTAGACACAGAATTGCTCTCAACAGAATAAAAACAAAGTAAAGCAGATTGTTAATATGGATATAAAATAAGAATTAAGAAAGGTATTATTAAGATTGCAAAGAAAATAAATGTCTGGTGGAAAATAAGGAAGTAAAAATGATAAAGACTTACTGTTTTGTGAAAGAGATAATAGAAAGTTATTTTGGTTATGTGATAATATTGTGATAATTATTTACTTATTTTTATAAATTCTTTTTTTAAATAAAGAATAAAAGTAAAAAAAATATTACTCAGAAGGTGGACTGTTCTTCGCAGATGGAGGAATGAAAACAGTAAACTATAAAGATCTAATTTAACTGGCAAATCTTCTCAATTTGATCTCACATATGCTGGCATTGAGAACTGCCAAAAAGGGGGCTATAATTAAAAAGCTATCATCATTTTTCTGAATGATAAGCAGTTCAGCTCTCTATAATGACATTTATGTTACTGATCCACAGACCTGACTCTTCTCTGTGTGAAATAAGTTGACACACTTCTTGTTTCATGCAGCATCTCAAAATTGAATGCCCAGTCCTTAAAACAACAACATCCAGAATGCAAACAGCAATAACTCTACCCATAACAGGTCACGCTTGTGAGGACTCAAAGGAGACTGTGATAAAAATCCATTAGTGCATGGAAAACAGAAGCCTTGTCCTTGAAAAATCATAAAATATAGAGCAAATCAGCTCTATGTAATTTTACACTAGTAAGACACAATAAAAACCCTTATATAGTTTGATTTATTTAAGTGACCAGACAAGAAGGAATGGGAGGCCATGGAGGAGGACAAGAAAGGTTTCATCCTCTGTATCACACAGGAAGTGTCACCAGGTAGTGGAATAATGCCCACATGTTGTTGTTTCTGATATCCTCTGCACAACATTTACTGATATTTGAGAATATGCCTTGATCCAAAAGAAGAAACAAATTATTTTTCTCTTCTTTCTCAAGAAGAGGAAAAAAATTAGCTCCTTAATTATGAGATCACTAATCACCTTTTTAATTCATTTTGTATGGTCAAAGCATTATTGATAAAGGCTAGTAAGTAATTATAGCAGCATGACATAACAGTGTCCTGGAGACAAAGGATAACTTTTTTGAAGACATGGAAGATTTTGATCTTTTGATCAAAGGCAGGTAACTCAAGTCATTTCTTCTTTTTATAATGTTGACCTGTCACGACAATTTGGCATGCTTGTGTCCACAGCTCATAGCAAGCCTTTCACATGATGCACATCAGAATATCACATAAACCAGTGGGCAAAGGAACACACAGTGTTTTTAGTCTCAGCACAACTGAAAAAGGGAAATATTTCCTTATTACATGTTGAGATAGCATGTAGGGTTTAGCAGACCACTGTAGGAAAAAAGATGAAGAACTGCAGATGCAGGGCTGTCTTCTTGTAGGCCCTGTGTTGGCACAATGCTTCGCTATGATTTACTTTTCTTAATCATGATAAACTACCATATCTGTACACTAAACCATGATTAAAATATTGACTGAAACACAGAATATAAAAGAAGCTAGAATATAAAGAAACATCATGAATTGGCTCAAGCAAACCATGTTTGCTCATCATTTGTATATGTCACCACTCCCTAGGTATGAATAGTGCCAGTTGCCTGCAGAATATAACTATCCCAAAGCACTATGCAATTTTTACACTAGCAAGGTTTAATGTGATGAGGAGGTCTGGTAGTTGGGAGGAAGATAGAGAGGAATTCTTGGCCCTTCAAGACTGTGTCCCTGTGGCTCTGGAGGTATTACTGAAACATTGTCACATTGGCTATTTCATTGTAAATTTTATCAAGAAGCCAAAGGGAATCTAATTTGTTTGATACTGACAGCCTTTCCAGGCCACTGTGAAGAGTAATTATTTTTACTATGTTTGGAAGGATAGGAATTACTTAGAAAGATGTGATGTTCTGAAGCACAGTTTTTACAGTAGATCAATGAGGCAAATTAACTGCTAATTATATTAAGCTGATACATGCCATGCCAAGATTAGCCGTAATCAGGTATTTGCTTCTTTTGTGCCTTTTTGTAAATATTATACAGTTAACAGACTAAATAAACAAATTGATGATAATGATGGTATGAAGTGGGTTTGCAAACTATTGTCTGTGCTGACCATGATTACGTGCTGTATCTGGACAATCCTTCAGGATGTATGTCCATATGTAGTGAACTGGACCTAGCTGGACAATCCTTCAGGATGTATGTCCATACAGTATGTAGTGAACTGGACCTAAAAGCTTGACTCCCACTACTCTACCTTTGCATTCTGAGAATACTAAACCAGGCCACCCTAATTCAGTTTCTGTGAATGGGAGTTGTAAATTCTGGCAGCCATTTCATTTCTCCATTCCAGAAAATGAATGTTTAGACAATGTTTAATACTAGTCAAAGATTAAATTCACAGTAGGTTCACAGACAGGAAGTTTGCCTGTACAAAAGTTTCTTGATTTATGTCCATGTAGAGAAAAAGATGTATCAGTCTTAGTTCTTGCTGTTAACTACTAATCTTAATGAATAACACTTTCAACATATGAAATAGAATGGCTCTATAATTTCCTCTCTCTTTGCTTCTCCTCCATTTTTCTTCTTCCAGATCAAAGCATGTCTTCAAATATCAATAAACCTCACCAAATAAAAGACTAGTTACTTGCTATAGTTGAAGGAACAAGAAATGAAGTTGCCAGACATGTTTCAAAAATCCAGACATCTCTTTTTAGTAATCTAGAAATAAAGCAAAGACCTAGGTTACACATTGTAGTAAACTTTTTTTTTAAAAAAAATGGCTTACCATGAGCAAGTATACAGTCATGTGAAAAAGGAAGTACACTCTCTTTGAATTCTATGGTGTTAGGTATCGGGATGCAATGAAAATCATCTGGTCCTTAGAGGGTCTGACAATTAGGTAAATACAGCCTCGGTTAAACAACAACACATGACATCTTACACTGTGTCATGATTTAATTTATAAAAATAATGCCAACATGGAAAAGCCATGTGTGAAAAACTAAGTACACTCTTACTGCTTCCATTGGAATTAAGAGGCTACGTAGCAGCCAGGTGCTGCTAACCAAATGCCCTTGAGTAATTGATCATCAGCAAGTGTGATCACCTCTATAAAAACCAAAGTTTTAGCAGTTTGCTGGTCTGGAGCATTCAAGTGTGTATTATAATGCCAAGAAGGAAATACATCGGCAATGATCGTAGAGAAGCAATTGTTGCTGCTCATCAATCTGGAAGGATTATAAGGCCATTTCCAAACAATTTAAAATCCATCATTCTAAAATGACGAAGATTATTCACAAGTGGAAAACATTGAAGACAGTTGCCAATCTTCCCAGGAGTGGGTGTCCAAGCAAATTCATCCCAGGGTCAGGCCGTGCAATGCTCGGAGAAACTGCAAAAAACCCCAAGAATTATATCTCAAACTTTACAGGACTCAGTTAGCATGTTAAATGTTAAAGCTCATGACAGTACAATTAGAAAAAGACTGTCTGACAGCAAAAGCTTGTCCGAAATTGGATCATGAAATAGGACGATGATCCCATGCACACCAGCAAATCTACAACAGAATGGCTGAAAAGGAGAAGAATCAAGGTGTGCAGTGGCCCAGTCTAAGTTCAGACCTCAACCCAACTGAAATGCTGTAACGGGACCTTATGAGAGCTGTTCATAAACAAATCCCCTCAAACATCAATGATCTGAAGCAATATTGTAAAAAAAAAAGGGCCAAAATTCCTCCACAGTGTTGTTTGAGACTGATAAAATCATATAGAAAATGATTACTTCAAGTTATTGCCGTAAAGGTGGTTTTACAAGCTATTGGATCATAAGGTGTACTTTGCTTTTCATAATTGGCTTCTCCATTTTGGCTTTAATTTTTGTTACATAAATCATGACATGGTGTAATATGCCATATGTTTTTGTTCATCTGATGTTGTATTTACCTAATCTGCTAAGGACCAAGTGATTAAACATAGGATTCAAAAAGGGTGTACTTATTTTTTCACCCGACTGTATACTGGAACACATTGCTCAGTGGTTTTGACTTGGCTATTCCTGCCAGGAGAAGCCACATCAACAGGATTGTTTGTTTAGCATGTTTTTCTTTTCCAAACAGGATGCTCAGTTCTGGAATTTCGATTTATTTGTCCCACAATATAGGTATAAACTAGGTATTGTTCTTGGCTTCTTAGAATGTCGACGTTAGAATGTGGAGTCCCTGGATTATTCAGTTGCTCTCAGTAGCAAGACAGGTCAAGCACAGATGATTATGGTAAGTCTGGCTTACCATAATATGTAAGTGTATTCAATATTTCAGAATGAAGAGTCTTTTCCTCAACAGCTCTAAGTATTGCTACATTTGAACAATAAAATGTTATTTCTTTCAAACTTTTTAAGCTATAGCATTTTTAACATGCATAAGCCAGCCGTAAAGAAATTAATTCACTGCTGTTTATTGACTATGACAGAATAATCTGTATAAAAGCAAAAGTATTAATTCCTAACTGTATGTGAAATATTAAATGCCAGTGATATTTTTGATCCCTAGCTTATGTAGCAGCTTATGTACCACTAAAGGCTTTTTTAGTTTTTGAATATATTCACCACTAAAAAATTATATAATGTTTTTCAACTGCTCATTAATATGCAAATTTTCATCTATAACAGGGAACAGAGATAAAATGAATCCTAAGAAAACTGTAACAAAGACTTTGTGAATTCCAAAATCTGGAAAAGCAACATGCTTAAAAACCTAGTGAGAAATACAAACAAAACAAGGATGGGCGGAGCAACGGGCAGCGAGAACAGTATTCCTAGGGCTCTGGGAACCCCTGGGTTTTACTCCAAGTAAGTGGACCCCCAGGAGAAGGGACGGCAAGTTTTCCACAGGCGAGTGGACCTGCAGCAACTGACTATCAAGCAACTGACTTGTGAAGGTCACCATTATGGTGAGTAGCTGCCTGGAGAGAGGGGAGGTATGAAGTTTTATGATCTAACTGCATCAACAGAGGCTAAATGAACTGCTTTCTAGCTTCAGCAAGTGATATATTAGACTTTTTTTGAAGACTGATATAAGGAGAATAGACTAATCTCAAAGCGGCATAGAACTTTGGTAACCCTGAAACACTGGGAATTTTTTACTGCGTCACATTTGAGAGGAACTGGAAAATGAAACTTGCTCGAGACTTTAATGGAGACTTCCCTCTCTCAACTCCTATCCTCCAATGAGTGGAAATATCAGCTTTTTATAAATTAAAGGCTTGAGAAGTCCGAAAAACTCCGAACAATTTAACCTAAGTGACTCTGCTTTGAGCTGTAAAGGTGGATTATAAATCAAACATTATCTTCATTATGGCTGGATTTACAACTGGAGTGGTCTTTGTAGGAGTCTGAGTTCGGGCTGACCAAATAAATCATGAGGTGAACTGAATAATTAGCTTGTTTGACTTTTTGGCTCTGGACTGGGAAAGAAAGCCATATCTAGGAGACAGAGAATGAGATTCATCATTAAAACTACAATGGAAGATTACTTCAAGAACTGTATTCAGGAACTCCAATTGAGCATAATTAATCAAATTAAGGTCCAGAAGTTAAGGCAGAAATTAAGGAGATAATTTTTGGATTGTATGCCAAGGGAGAAAACAGGGAGACCGAAGACAAACCGATCGAAGGGACCATGGAAACCACTGAAGAATTGGTATCATCAGAGAGAGAGACTGCTTTCTTTAGAAAGCAGGATGCAACGCTGAAAATGGAGAGTAAAAATGGGGCAGGTGGATGAGTGGGGAAAGTACATTAAGATTAATGGGAAAGAATGTAAAGGAGGAGGAATATGTCAGGGCGAAGCTGGATGGGACAGAAATTTCTGACCATAGACTAGACATGTATGCATTGCTCCAAAGACAAGACATTAATCATGTTGGGATAAAATTAGTAAACCTGAGAGAAAATGCCTTAAAGAGATTTTATAGATGGCATTTTAAAACTTGTAAAAAGGAGGCAAGAGGCTAATTTTGGATTTATGACACTGGAGCCGATAAGCACAATTAAAAAGGGGGAAAGTTACTTGCTGAATTATAATATTGCTGAATTATAATATTGACTATGTAGATAAGATTAGACATATAATATCTTCTTGTCTTTAGAAATGTTGGTTTCTGATTATTGTATTGGCCATGTTTAGATCCTATTGGTAGAGAAGTATGTTGATTTTGTAAAGTATGATACTCTGAAATATAATTGGATAGATGGAAATGCAGGAGAAAGAATCTATAAAAATTACTATAAATTTAGGATGTTAGATATTGAACTAAATATTTGAAATAGGGATATGAAATATAATATCCATAGATACATATTGATATAGTATGGTTTAGTATGGGAGAAGGGTATAAGGTCTGTTGTAGTCAAACTAATATAATGGATAAGGTTGAACATGAAATACTTCCGCGCCTATATGTTTTGTTTGTTTTATATGTCTTTGATTGTTTTATATGTTTT